TTGTATCTTTTAACACAAATATTAAAACAGAACTACAGCCAGAGTAGATCTCTTTAGGGTCACAGAAGGACATTTACTAATGTGTACTGCATCCCAACACTCAGCATATAGCAGGCTATTGCCCACTATATGCTGACAGCGCAGAGCTGCACTGCAGGTGGGAAGGATCCCAACAATATGGTCAGGATCCACCCCGCTGCCTGACAGCTGGCTCTGCCTCTCTAGAGCCAGCTGTGCCTGCCCCCTCCACAGTCTGGCCCTCCAGTTAGTGTTGGAGGATCGGAGCAGGGAGGTAGGAATCCCTGACTTACTGTCACCGCTCTCTGCAGAGGGAAGATCGGCGGTATGTGTTTGCTCAGCTCCTGATCAATAGAGCTGACATGTGACAGTTTCCATGTCACACGTCAGCTCTAATTATGGAGATGAGTATTTCACTCTCTCCGTGGTTCCCCTTTAAATGTGACACAAGTAACTTTGTGGAGGGCTGCAGGGCGCACGTGTCACCATGGCAACGTATATAAACAATAACAAACATTGCCAGGTCTTGTATAGCACATCTGGAGTATATGTCATCAGTGGGCCGGGACAGAAAACTAGCAAGAAGGAGCCAGTCACTGATAAGTTTTTTTAAAATGGCAGCGTGGGAAGCACAGGACATCCCAGCAAGGAGGAGAGAAAGTGACAGCCGGCCGAGCGCTGTGGGACAAGAGCGCTGTGAGCGGCCGGTGTCTCTCCTCCCACACCGCTCAGCCGCCTATCACAGTGCGGCAGGGCAGTGTGGGGGCGGAGACAGGCTGTGCTGTCACAGGAGGCTGGGCTCTCCTCTCGCACCGCTCACTCAGCCTCCTGTGACAGTGTGTGTCAGAGAGGAGAGTGGGCACAAGCACTCATTTTTTTTAAAAATTAAATATTAAAAAAAATTAAAATAAAAACATTTTCGGTATCGGTTTCGGCCTGACAATTTTTTCTATTTCGGTTTATCTCTACTTGTTAGTATAGGTAAACTGTCACTAAAGGGATTTCAATGGCATTGGTGGTGTATTGGGAGCGAGGGGGGTCTATATGTCCAGCCAAAATGTTTTTTGACCCCGGTCAGACTTTTCTTTCTATCCATCTCTGCATTAGAGCTCTTTATCCTCATTTCCTGTCTTGCTGACATTTTAAAAAGGCAGCAACACAGACAGAAATAAAAATGCTTCTCTTCAGTAAATACATGAAGGCTAGAACCCCTCAGATCTCTGTGTCCCCGTTGCATATTTTCCTTCACTTCCTGTCTGATCAATCTGTTGTCAGCAGGGCAGGAAGTGATGGTCCATCTCTCTAACAGAGCCCCATACAGCAATAAAACC